TTAATTGTTTTAACAGAGTCCTCTTTGTCACATCATTTGCTTTCCTCTGAGGGGTGTTTGATTGTTTGAAACTTGTATGAAAAACTAATGGAAATTGCTATGATGAGGGCCAGTGTCCACTCCACATTCCGACTTTGAATGTCGGGGCACTTCAGTGTCTGTTTGAAAGCGCAGATGCCAAGCGCTGGAACAGCAAATGCTGGAGCTTCAGGAAGGGTCCGTATTATCAAAGAAAGAATGCTGACCTGGAAAGGATTTTTAAAAAGAAAAAGTTCTGCTGTGGAGGCTGGATCCACTCCAGTTATACATGCTGAAGAGATTCTGCTTGTGGAACGAGTGACATGAAGGACTCCCATAGTTCTTTTGGTTGTAGCTCTTGGCTAGGGTTCTCTACTTTAGGGGAGCTGTATGTATTGGGATGTGGGTGAATCTGTGGGTTAAACCACAGAGCCTAGGGCTTGCCGATCAGAAGGTCGTTGGTTCGAATCCCTGCGGCGGGGTGAGCTCCCATTGCTCTGTCCCAGCTCCTGCCAACCTAGCAGTTCGAAAGCATGTCAAAGTGCAAGTAGATAAATAGGTACCGCTCCGGCGGGAAGGTAAACGGCGTTTCCGTGCACTGCCCTGGTTCGCCAGAAGTGGCTTAGTCCTGCTGGCCACATGACCTGGAAGCTGTACGCCGGCTTCCCTCGGCCAATAAAGCGAGATGAACGCCGCAAGCCCAGAGTCGGTCACGACTGGACCTAATGGTCAGGGGTCCCTTTATCTTTACCTTATGTATTGACCACCCAGGGCTGGCCCACTCATGAGGTAAAGTGAGGTGACTGCTTCTGGCAGCGGGATCCACAGGGGCAGCAGATTCCGATATCGAACTTTCCTCCCGCCTTGTTCCTGATGTCGATCTTTCCCCATCCCTTCTTCCCCGGTGGCGGTGGCTGCCATTTTGTGGTTTGCCTCCGGGGCCAAAATGTCTTGGGCTGGTCCTGTGATCACCATCCCAGATAGAATTAGGCATACAAATCGTTCGTAAAGGCTTCTACCTATTTGATTCTTCTAATTCCTTGTTTATGTGCAGAGCCTTCCAAGAGAGGTTTGTGCTTCCTTTTAAATTCCACAAATGTTTCTGGACGAGGCGGGACCGTTTCATCTGATGGCAACTTAATGATGTGTGGAAACTTCCCACTGGGTCATTTCATTAGGCTCTTAACAAAACTCTCTCGACTTTCCTTGAAATCCTACATGTTGTTGCTTTTTTTACTTGAGGAGGAACCTCAAGATTTGAGCTTCATATCTCATATGTATGCTAAATTCTGGTATCTACTTGAAACCCCCCAAGGGGTTGAGTATCACTTGCCTTGCATATACAATACAATGCTAGGGTTTGGGACACTGGCAGAATCCCATAAATGGCCCTTGACCAGAGTGGATACAACTGTGAAGGCCGTGGCAACCATCCCAGCGAAGCCAGAATGGGTCTTAAGGAAGCAATAATAATAATAATAATACAATAATAATAATTTATTATTTATACCCCGCCCATCTGGCTGGGCTTCCCCAGCCACTCTGGGCGGCTTCCCAAAAAATATTAAAATACTGTAATACATCAAACATTAAAAGCTTCCCTAAACAGGGCTGCCTTCAGATGTCTTCTGAAAGTCTGGTAGTTGTTGTTCTCTTTGACATCTGGTGGGAGGGCGTTCCACAGGGAGGGCGCCACCATTGAGAAGGCCCTCTGCCTGGTTCCTTGTAACTTGGCTTCTCACAGTGAGGGAACCGCCAGAAGGCCCTCGGTGCTGGACCTCAGTGTCCGGGTAGAACAATGGGGGTGGAGACACTTCTTCAGATATACTAGACTAAGGCTGCATCAATAGGAGTATAGCATCTAGATCAAGGGAAGTAATAGTGCCACTGTATTCTGCTCTGGTCAGACCTCACCTGGAGTACTGTGTCCAGTTCTGGGCACCACAGTTCAAGAAGGACACTGACAAACTGGAACGTGTCCAGAGGAGGGCAACCAAAATGGTCAAAGGCCTGGAAACGATGCCTTATGAGGAACGGCTAAGGGAGCTGGGCATGTTTAGCCTGGAGAAGAGGAGGTTAAGGGGTGATATGATAGCCATGTTCAAATATATAAAAGGATGTCACATAGAGGAGGGAGAAAGGTTGTTTTCTGCTGCTCCAGAGAAGCGGACACGGAGCAATGGATCCAAACTACAAGAAAGAAGATTCCACCTAAACATTAGGAAGAACTTCCTGACAGTAAGAGCTGTTCGACAGTGGAATTTGCTGCCAAGGAGTGTGGTGGAGTCTCCTTCTTTGGAGGTCTTTAAGCAGAGGCTTGACAACCATACGTCAGGAGTGCTCTGATGGTGTTTCCTGCTTGGCAGGGGGTTGGACTCGATGGCCCTTGTGGTCTCTTCCAACTCTATGATTCTATGATTCTATGATTCTATGATTATAAGGCCCATTTAGACATCATGGAAAGTGTGTTGTATAACTGTGTGCTGAATTAGCAGAGCCACATACCACTGACTTCAGGTGTTATGTGCATGTGCTGTAATTACATGCACAGTCCAGTGCGTCTAGTCCCAGCAATGTGTGAACCGGGATGGGGGACGAAGTCTCTTACTTCTTGTTACTTATCAAACTGTGTTAACAATTTAGTCCTGGTTTTCTGATGTAGTCCCCATTGCCTTAAAAGCAAGGAGAGAATGGGGAAAATTCAAGTTTATTGGGTGTATTATTATTATTATTATTATTATTACTACTGCTATTATTGTTAAAATTAAGATTTGTATACCACCCTTCATCAACAGATCTTAGGGTGGTTTATTGAAAGAATGATATAACATCTTCAAAGAAGTATATGTTGTTTTATTTGTTGAACCTTTATTCATCCCTAATAAAGAGCAAAACGTCCAGGGCTGAAGTTTTTATGTGATCAGACCCAACATGCATTGGATTTTAGGTGCGCTTAAATCGATTAAGTGTTGCATCCAGCACATGTCGGTGGGACACCCATTTATTCTGCACACTTGGGTGATGGAAATAGGGCTGTAAACTCCTTTTTGTCTTGAAATAATAAAACGATCAAACATTATAATTGTATGCATGTGTAATTGTTTCCTGAACTGCTCTGTTGCCAAAAGGAAGATTTAACTGAACAGGAGTTAATTCAGTTAAGATCAATCTAAGCTAATCTCTATGGAGAAAAGCCTTTATTTTGAGGTTTGCACTGCGATTCAGGTACTACCCCTTTGCCCGTTCCTGGGTGGTATTAAACTACTTAAGTGTGACATCTGTGGAGAATATCTAGTCTGCTTCCCTTTTCTTTCTCTTACTGAGAATTGTATTTGGCTGCCAGCAAAGTCTTTGCATGGGCTCCACAGGGAGTTTTTCCAAGCCCTAAGTCATTAATAATTGCTGCGACAAATCTCTAAAATATAATAAGTGCTTTTATTCCCCCCCCCCGCCTTCCAAATATACGGATGATAATTAGAACGTGTTGCATTGAGAAAGGCAGGGATATTAAATATATTTGATTTGACACAAACAAGTCCCTGGTACTGAAATAAGATATCTAGTACAAATTAACGTTGCAGCCACATCTGATTAGGAATTAATCTACTTTTTATAATTGCAGCCTGAATTAGATAAATGCATACAGTAGTTGTATTGAGCACTCAAACTACATAACAGGGAAGGACAACTTCAAAGGCAACCTGCAGAATTCATTTATTTAAAAAAAGAAACCAGGAGTTTTCCATTAATAATAAGAGCATTGATTGCTTTTCTTCGAAATGCATATAAATGAGAAGTTTCCCATTTCTGGTAGTGGGAGAAGGCATCTGGAGAACCAAATAGGTCTTTGACATTCTTTCTTGTACAGCTCTCCTCATTAGCTGTCTTGCTTCATCATCCTTGTAGTTTTGTTAGATGTATTAGTTTCAGTGGTGGTAAGTTGTTGCAGCAACATCTTGGGTGTAGTTCATAGGACACATGGGTGTTGACTGAGCTAAATATATTCCTGTTGGATTAAGAATAGGGAAAGGGATGAAGAAACATTGCAAAGCATAATGTGGAGCAACTGTTGCAAAAGGTGTGTGCTACCCTGAAATTCAAACTGAGTTACCGTACTTTTCTGTCTATAAGACGAGGATTTTTTTTATTCAAAAATTATGTCTAAAATTGGGGGTCGTCTTATACAGTGGTACCTCGGGTTACAAACACCTTGGGTTGCAAACACTTCGGGTTGCAAACTCCGCTAACCTGGAAGTAGTACCTCGGGTTAAGAACTTTGCTTCAGGATGAGAACAGAAATCGTGTGCTGGCGGCGCGGTGACAGCGGGAGGCCCCATTAGCGAAAGTGGTACCTCAGGTTAAGAACAGATCTCCGGAACAAATTAATTTCGTAACCTGAGGTACCACTGTACATGGATAGTGCATAGCGGGGACATGGGATTGGTTCCTGCTGCGAGCCGGAGATTGTCAGCAGTTATAGGACATGTTAGTGGTGGCTGCAGCAAGGGCTGTTGTTGATTGGCTGCCGCTGCTGCAATGGGCGGGGGATTGGCGGCTTCTGCTGGCGAGGGGACAGACAATAGGTGGCTTTTGCAACGCGTGTGAGAGGCAGTGAGTTAGTGATTTCCCCCCCAAAACAGCTCAACAACTCTGGGCAATCTCCCCCCCCATTTTCTAAATTTGGAGCTCCCCATAATAGTCTTATACATGGAGGCATGTTACACACAGAAAAGTATGATACATTGGTACCTCGGGTTAAGAACTTAATTTGTTCTGGAGGTCCGTTCTTAACCTGAAACTGTTCTTTACCTGAGGTACCATTTTAGCTGAAGCGTCTGTAACCCGAGGTACCACTGTACTTAGTTAGCACTTTGCGCCCTCAAAAATTAATTGGGCCAAATCCTGTGTTATATGGCTATGTAAGTCCTACAACCCCCTTCCCGACTCACCTTTTTTCCTCCCCTGTTTTCCTGCTTTTGCAGAAGATAGACGAAGAGAATGAGGCAAATTTGCTAGCAGTTCTCACAGAGACATTGGACAGCATCCCTGTGGATGAGGATGGACTGCCTTCATTTGATGCCCTGACGGATGGAGATGTGACCAACGAAAACGATGCCAGCCCTTCGCCGATGCCCGACGGCACCCCTCCACCTCTGGAGGCAGAAGAGCCGTCTCTAGTAAGAATCTACCTTCCTAGTGTTTAACGGGAAATGGAGGTGCCCTCTCACTATCCACTGCATGGGTATGATGTAGCCACAGTAAGGTTTGGTCTTTTCGTTTTTAGACTGAAAACCCAAAGAAAGCTTAATCGCACTTGGGCATTTCAGACAGAAAGCCCAGGATAAACATGTTGGAGAAACGATGGTATTGCCTGAATGTTTTTCTTCCGATAATGCACACTCTTGCTAATTCAGAAAGGGAATGTTTTGAATATGTGTTTTCTCATTAGGAGATCTCCGGTATGTGTGTACTAGTTTCACATTTAATAATGTGTTACCAAGATGTTGTTGTTGTTTAGTGACCCCATGGACCAGAGCACGCCAGGCACTCCTGTCTTCCACTGCCTCCCGCAGTTTGGTCAAACTCATGCTGGTAGCTTCGAGAACACAGTCCAACCATCTCGCCCTCTGTCGTCCCCTTCTCCTTGTGCCCTCAATCTTTCCCAACATTAGGGTCTTTTCCAGGGAGTCTTCTCTTCTTATGAGGTGGCCCAAGTATTGGAGCCTCAGCTTCAGGATCTGTCCTTCCAGTGAGCACTCAGGGCTGATTTCCTTAAGGATTGATAGGTTACCAAGATAGCTTATTAATAAAGGCTGGATTCACGTTTGGCTCACATCTGTTCACAACTCCTTGGGTTGTGTTAGTAAGTGGATGAAAGGAAGATATTTCTTTTCATATGGGAATTGGCAACTGAGAACGCCTATGCCAAATCTGAGGGATAAGAGTTGGCCCTCCATTTGCCAAGCCAGAAAGATGTTGAAGTGGTGGCTCCTCAGAATGGGCCTCCTATAAAACTAGCCGCAGACTAGGACCCTATCAAATGGCTAGCCTCTTGCTCAATGAACTGAAAAGATTTATTGATACTCAGTAAAACGCCTCCAAATTTTTAAGGCCACAGCTACGCTACCAACTTTAAACAGGTTCAGTTTTTGTTCCCTCTTCCCCCTCTGTGTGAAATATTTGTAATAAATAAGCTACATCTCTGTTAGGGTGCCTAGAATTTATAGTGTTTAACACTGTTGTCCACCTACAGTTCTCTAAAGTCTTTGAGGGAAACCACAACAGTGTTTCTGTTTTGCATTTTTAGACACAAGTTAGATGTGCAACTAAAAGATGTAACGTGTGAAGGAGCCCATGGCAGCAATATCATAATTCCAGATCAGTATTCTGTAGCAGAAGCAAGGATTAGAATGAGAAGGGAGAGGAGATAGTGGTAGAAAATGGAGGAAAAAAATGAAGTCCTAGAGTCTTTCTTTTTTGGTGTGTATAGAGCCCAGTGTGATGCCTCCTCATGCTCTTTTTCAGATGTGCTAAGGGGCCCTCAAGAAATGTGTCAGGACAAACCCTACAGTTTGCTTTGTCTTGAGAGAATAGTACCCTCATTAACAGCAAATATCCATTGCTGCCAGATCTGTCACTACAAAAGTGACTGCTAAGATTTTCAGAAAAACACCAACCCCTAACTTTACAAAAACCAATTCTGCTGCCAGAGGACTCTTTTATCTTTTGGTCATAATGGAATCGAGAAGTTCAGTATCTTATAGTTTTGACTATCAAGATGACTTGCAATGTACATTTCCTGAATGATTTTATCAGCTACCAAGAAGATTTGTATTCACTCTGCCTGGCGGAAAAAACTAGCCAATTGCCAGGCCTTGTTTACTTTGAGATGTAGCATTGTCCTTCATATTGTGCATTTGTATCCATGTGCTATAGACTTTCCTCTACTGTAGGCAAAAGTTGTCTCTTGACAAGTGAATCCCACTTTGTCAGAAGAGAAGATGTCGGAACCATGCAAAAAACAATCACTTCAATCTTCAGTCAAATCGCTTTACATTTGACGTCTCTTTGTCCATCTGTGGTCCATGTTAAGGTGCACCACCTTTGAAAGGTGTATTGCAAAGAGGGCTTGGCTCCAGGGCTGGCTAGATTTTATTGGCCCCTGAGCACCATTCTGTGCATGGGTCCTTGAGCTTGCCATTGTTGTTGTTTAGTCATGTTTGACTCTTTGTGACCCCATGGACTAGAGCACGCCAGGCACTTCCGTCTTCCACTGCCTCCCCAGTTTAGTCAAACTCATGCTGGTAGCTTCGAGAACACTGTCCAACCATCTCGTCCTCTGTCGTCCCCTTCTCCTTGTGCCCTCCATCTTTCCCACCATTAGGGTCTTTTCCAGGGAGTCTTCTCTTCTCATGAGGTGGCCAAAGTATTGGAGCCTCAGCTTCAGGATCTGTTCCTTCCAGTGAGCACTCAGGGCTGATTTCCTTAAGAATGGACATGTTTGATCTTCTTGCAGTCCATGGCACTCTCAAGAGTGTCCTCCAGCACCATAATTCAAAAGCATAAATTCTTCTGCGATCAGCCTTCTTGATGGTCCAGCTCTCAATTCCGTACATCACTACTGGGAAAACCATGGCTTTAGCTATACGGACTTTTGTTGGCAAGGTGACGTCTCTGCTTTTTAAGATGCTGTCTAGGTTTGTCATTGCTTTTCTCCCAAGAAGCAGGCGTCTTTTAATTCCGTGGCTGCTCTCACCATCTGCAGTGATCACGGAGCCCAAGAAAGTAAAATCTCTCACTGCCAAAGCAAGTGGCTGGCAGTCATGCTTATGGCTGATGTTCTGCAGCCTTGTTCATGTGTCAGAGCAGTCATATAAAGCTTTTTTTAAAAGTTTGACTTGAATTTCAAGGGCTCAGGATGGCTGTGGATGCTGATAGGTGTTTATTGCTGACTCCTGGTTTGCTTGGCTCAAGCGAATTTCTCACATGGAAGGAAGACATTGTGGAGAGCTGGAATCTCCTTTCCTGTCTCTGCTTCCTATATTTTCCTTCGCTTCATACTTCTCTGCGTTGCCTGGATCCAGCCAAACAGGTTGTGATGAAGGGGAGAATGTACATCCCTATGCAGGTGCATATGAAATAAAGTGTGTAGTTACGTTCCTATGTGTATATGGCAACATACGGTCATGACTCTTATGAATCTGAAAGACTTTACCTATGCCCTTGGGCACAATCTGCATTTGAAATTGGTTGTGTGGTTCCCCAGGTAAAACAGCCCCCACCTTGGCTGTTGTTTGTTAAATCGTGAATGTAATACAGTATACCTTTTCAAAAAACAAAAAAAACAACCATCATTTTTGGCCTAGGGATAAGTATTAATATATCACATTTTAGTGTGTAAAATGGTTTTGTAAGTCTTACGTTGCTTGCCTTTTTGACAACTCTGGGAAGCAGGCGTTTTATCTTTTGCGTTCCATGGTATCTAAGGCTAGAAGCACAGAATTTCTTGCATTTAGGAACTTTTTGCATTTAGGGGATGCAGGTGGCGCTGTGGGTTAAAGCCTCAGCGCCTAGGGCTTGCCGATCGAAAGGTCAGCGGTTCGAATCCCCGTGGCGGGGTGCGCTCCCGCTGCTCGGTCCCAGCGCCTGCCAACCTAGCAGTTCGAAAGCACCCCCGGGTGCAAGTAGATAAATAGGGACCGCTTACTAGCGGGAAGGTAAACGGCATTCCGTGTGCTGCGCTGGCTCGCCAGATGCAGCTTGTCACGCTGGCCACGTGACCCGGAAGTGTCTTCGGACAGCGCTGGCCCCCGGCCTCTTGAGTGAGATGGGCGCACAACCCCAGAGTCTGTCAAGACTGGCCCGTACGGGCAGGGGTACCTTTACCTTTTTAGGAACTAATGCAGAACTCTTGTGTCACTCATTATGCTTGACAATCCTGGTAAAGGTTCAGGGTCAGAGTTGAAGTGCCCTTCCCCTTAAAAAGCTCATGAAACAACTGGTGACACAACTCCAGTTTTGAGGGGTTAGGTTGGCAATTTTGAATCATAGAATCAAAGAATTGTAGAGTTGAAAGTCTATTAAACATTAAAAGCTTCCCTAAACATGGCTGCCTTCAGATGACTTCTAAAAGTCTGGTAGTTGTTTTTCTCTTTGACATCTGGTGGGAGGGCGTTCCACGGGGCGGGTGCCACTACCGAGAAGGCCCTCTGCCTGGTTCCCTGTAGCTTTGCTTCTCGCAATGAGGGAACCGCCAGAAGGCCCTCGGCACTGGACCTCAGTGTCTGGCTCTAACCAACTGAGCTATGCAACTTCTCATATGATCCTCACAATATATCAAGTCAGGGTACTTCTGCCCGTGCTTGGACCCTGTCAGTCCACTTAGCCAACTACATCCAGTGTGTACTGTGCAGTTGGCATGACTGACTTCTGCCTTGATTGCAGGGGATGGCCTGGGACATTGGCCATGCCAGTGATGCTTTCTGCACTTCTGGTTGCACTACAATGCACAAGTAGGAGCATGCAGGAGCTAAGATTTTTTAGGACCGCAATGCCTCCAGAACCACCTCTCCTCATATGAATGGACCCAGACCCTGCAGTCATCAGCTGAGGCCCTTCTTCATATGCCTTCTCCACGATAGGTCTGGAGGATGGCAACACAAGAATAGGCCTTTTCTGCGATGGTTCCCCATTTGTGGAATGCTTTCCCCAGGGAGGGTTGCCTGGTGCCTTCAGTACATATCTTTAGGCACCAGGTGAAAGCATTTCTCTCCAACCGGGCCCTTGTCTGATAGGGAGGGGGGTTATTGGTGGAGTTTTCTGTTTGTTTATTAAGTATTTTGTGTTGCATTTCTAGATTCTAGGCTTGCGGGACATTCATGTATGAAGCAGAATGCGTTAGGCATAGACAGGAATAGTCCAGCGTTTATAGGCTTAAACCATACGAGCATTTCCCAAATTTTACTGGCATGAATAGATTTATGGTTTTGCCACCCATGGAGGCCCTGTGCAAATATCGCTTCCACGTGTGGACTTCCAGCAGCCGTGGGGCAAGGCAGGCAAGCCTATTATTCAAAGTCCTCCTTTTCCATCTTGCATAGCCTCTATACATGTTGATATTTGTCCGAACTGGACCCGAGACTCATAAATTCAGATGAAACCTGGGGAACGGAAGTGCATAACCTTATTTCTTTTTCTTCCCAACCTTTCCCCTTCCGCACCCACCCCAAACCTTTCCCCTTGTTATCCTTGCAGCTTAAGAAACTCTTGTTGGCGCCAGCTAACACCCAGCTAAATTACAATGAATGCAGTGGCCTCAGCACACACAACCATGCAAACCATGCCAATCACAGGATCAGAACAAGCCCTGTGGTGGTTAAGGTACAGTGCAATACATATCAAGATGGTTTTAAATAGTTTCCTTTTCCCCCATTAGTGCTCAGACATTTACCTGGCCAGTGCACAAGGAGTGGGATATGTCTCAAAGTTTCACCTGTCTCCCTAAGCAATGTTGGATGCAGGCACTCTGTGCAGAGGTCCATATACACAATGGCCCAGTTTCCATGATCACACACACACCTTTTTTGTGTGAAAGCAAAGGATCTTAAAACTGGGCCATTGCACATACAGACCTCAACACAGAACATCTTGTTATTATCTGTGGAGAGGGAAAAGGAGAGATGTGCATCTACTCTTTCTGTGCACAAACTGAATTTTCAACCCAATAACTGCACCAATAGCCTGGTACCTTATCTCAAATTGTGGGGTTGGGGCAGCAGCGGTGGGGTTTTGTGCATATGTGGGGGTGAGGGGATATCATAAGGAGAAGCTGCTTCTGTTCATTTTTTTCACTCTGAATAATTCATGTTATGCCTTCCACCCCCCTTTCTTGGCAGCATTAACGCATTTTTAAAGGCTGCTCTTCTTTCCCCCTCCACAGAATTGTAGACAGTGCCATTAAAATATTACTGATGGGCTGATGTGTTGACGTGCGACTCCAGGCCACCACTTCACTTGCGGCCCAACTTAGAAAAAGATTGTGCTGGAACCTCAGTAGAAAGGTCTATGTCAGCCATTAATTGCCTCCGATGCTGGCAGTGGTGTAATTCTGTTAGCAGGCTGTATTAAACAATGTTTGTCTTGCCATTGACTGTAACCGAAAACAGAGCATTTAGGGGTACTTAAGAGAGTTGTGAGCGCTGGGCTTGAGCAATCAGCAGCAAATTAAGGTTTAAGCCAGCTTATTTCCCCCCCCTCCCTGTTCGTAGTAAAGGCGCTGTAGGGTCTTGTTAGTTATATGTTGCTGAGTAGGAACATTGAAACATAAGAGAAATGAAATAAAAAAAGCCGCATAAATGTCATTTAGGAATTTTAAATGTAATTTTCTTTCCTTGTTCTGCAAACAATTATTCACAGCTCATAGATCTAGTGCTCTTATAAGGAACACTTCACTGAAAATCACATCTCTTCAGAAATCCTATATCCATTCTGATAAGGTTCGGTTCACTAATTTCAGCTTTCTTTTTTCTTTTCCTTCCTTCCTTCCTTTTATTACTTTTCCTTTTATTGTGACTTGTTTCTTAAGACTGAGAATTCATGGAGCAATAAAGCGAAGAGCATTTGTCAACCACAAAAGCCACAAAGACGCCCCTGCTCAGAGCTTCTCAAGTATCTGACTACAAACGATGACCCTCCTCAGACCAAACCAACAGAGAACAGGAGCAGCAACAGAGACAAATTCACCTCTAAAAAGAAGGCGCTTTTGCACTCTCAGACGCATCATTTGCAAGGTAGGCTTGGGATCAAAGAATAGGTTTTGACCAATGATTGTCATTGTTGCAAGTGATCAGAGCCTGGTGGTGAAGGGTACCTGTAGCTTCCCAGACAGCTCAGACCAGTGAACAATGCTCATCTCTAAAAGCTTCCAGGAGCCAGGAAGAATTGCCTGACCCTCTCTGGGTCGGCCGAAATCCTCCACCTAGCAGCTTCTCTTCTTTTGTGGGAAACTTCCCTGAACATGGCGTACAGTGCAGAGGGGTCCCTTTGGAAGTTCCCTGCAAAATTTTGGAAGGATAGGTGCAGAAGATACAATGAATTAAACGTTGTTTGAGTAGGGTGAATTGAATTTTTCAGCTTCCCAATTGCGTAGAAATTATTTAAAATGGTTGTCAAGCACTCGCAGTTCAATAATAGTAACAATAACAATAATAATAATAATTTAGCATTAGCTGACATTTTCAGAAAGTTAAAATCAAAATTCTTTGGTTTTCCGAAGCAGTTTATTTCCTTCTCAGTCAAATTTAGACTTAGCAAGCTAAAAGTTGACCAATCAAAAAATTCAAAACCAGATTTGAACTCCTCACACCCCAAACCATATTATTAATACCCCCCCCCTTTTGCAAAAAAATTAAATTTCACCTCCTAAAACAGCATGCTGTACTGTTTGAGACTTTTTGGTCAGGGTTGTGTGGTTCCTTTGTGCCCCTTGTGTGATTATAGTGGGGATTCTTTATTTATTTTATTTATTGGTTGGTTGGTTGGTTGGTTGGTTGGTTGCATTCTTATCCAACTTTTTTCACAATGCTCAAGGTGGCTTCCATAGTTCTCCCACTCCTCATTTAATCCCATCAATAACCCTGTGAGGTAGGTTAGGCTGAGAGGGATTGACTGGCCCAAGGTCACCCAGTGAGCTTCATGGGGAATCGAACCCTGGTCTCCCAGGTCCTAGTCCAACACTCTAACCACTGCACCACCACCGGCTGCATGGAGCCGCTGTGTTTCCTTGGAGGCTCACCAGCCTAGAGGAGTCATGCTCCTTGAGGGGTGAGGCTAAACCCATGTAGCTCTCAGCCCAGCTCTGCCTGGGCTCCCTGTTAATTGCTTAGCATAAATTGGAACGTTAGCTGGGCACATTTGTGCATGCACAAAGACGCAAAGGTGCATTTTTAACTAGCATAGCTCCTCTTCCTCTTGTGCATTTAGAACACATTCTGTGTGCAAAGAGCTTAGGGGTAAAGGGTTTAAGATTTCTCAAGTAAAGACTCTCTTCACACACAATGGTTTTTAAGTGAGCACCTAAGGTCTGTTAAGAATACTTAAGAATACACTGAGGCCTTTTGGGCTTGCCGATCAGAAGGTCGGAGGTTTGAATCCCCGTGACAGACTGAGCTCCCATTGCTCTGTCCCAGCTCCTGCAGTTCGAAAGCATACCAGTGCCAGTAGATAAATAGGTACCGCTCCAGAGGGAAGGTAAAAGGCGATTCTGTGCGCACTGGCACTTGTCATGGTGTTCTGTTGTGCCAGAAGCGGTCTAGTCCTGTTGGCCACATGATCCGGAAAGCTATCTGTGGACAAACGCCGGCTCCCTTGGCCTGAAAAGCGAGATGAGCGCCATAACCCCATAGTCGGCTTTGACTGGACTTAACCATCCAGGGGTCCTTTGCCTTAACCTTTTACTTCCAAGGCCTAATGTGAATGCGGTATGTGTGTGTTTGCAAATGTAGGCCCTTGAACGACGAGTCATAAGGGAGCCAGGACTGTATGTAATAGTCCTGAGCTGAAGATAAAGACAATTGGGAAGGAGGAACCTGAAGATGGATTTGCAGCCATGGGGGAGTTGAGGGTTAACTGGATTCCAACAGCACAAAAGTAGTGATGCGTTCCTGGGAAATAATTACTGTCCTGGACAAGCTGGGCTAGCCAGTTCATTAGGGAGCCTCTTTTATTTTCACCGGACTAAAATGAAGACATTGTTAACTTGCAATATATTCCTTAAGAGACAATAAAAACAGCTTTCTTGCAGCTTCTGAATAGGCAATAAATGTGTCAGCCCTATTATAACTTTAAAAAACCCACCATTTTATTGTTTTATTCTCTAAACAGTGTCAAGTGTAGGAACCGTCCTGACCCCTCCTGCTCACTTACCAAACAAGAAACTTTATGGCCAACTAAGCATCCGTAATGACGTTTAGTATCCTCCAGTGTATTGAGAGGGAATTTTGGTCCTATACTAACTGCTACGTCCGGGTTGGAAAAATGCAAATGCCCTCCTCTTTCCCTGCTGAGTTGTTCCTTTTCTTGCTTTCTCCTGATGCCACTTTCTAAAGGCTTATAGGCCCAAGTAGGCTTTATTTAAAGGGACTCAGGTGGCACTGTGGGTTAAACCACAGAGCCTAGGACTTGCTGATCAGAAGGTCGGCGGTTCGAATCCCTGCGACGGGGTGAGCTCCCATTGCTCGGTCCCAGCTCCTGCCAACCTAGCAGTTCGAAAGCATGTCAAAGTGCAAGTAGATAAATAGGTACCGCTCTGGCGGGAAGGTAAATGGCGTTTCCGTGCACTGCTCTGGTTTAGTCATACTGGCCACATGACCCGGAAGCTGTACGCCGGCTCCCTCAGCCAGTAAAGCAAGATGAGCGCCGCAACCCCAGAGTCAGTCACGACTGGACCTAATGGTCAGGGGTCCCTTTACCTTAGGCTTTATTTAGAGATCCTGCCACTTTTAAAAAAAGTCATCTACTGCCTTTGTCTCCAGAGGTAAGAAACTGAGACATGGTTTAGATCAGCAAGCATCTGTAGCTGCAATGTCAATGAGCGAGAGAATTTGGTTGTAGAACTTTGTTACAAGCAGAGTTGGAAACAAACATTAATTTCTCCCCTCGCCCCGAGTTTTTTGTTCCCAAATGGTAATGTTAGTTGAGCAGCAGGGCAAGAAGCAATTCAAGGTTTTGACATGAGCCAACAATGTGACGCGGCAGCTAAAAAAGCCAATGCAATTCTGGGCCTCATCAATAGGAGTATAGCATCTAGATCAAGGGAAGTAATAGTGCCACTGTATTCTGCTCTGGTCAGACCTCACCTGGAGTACTGTGTCCAGTTCTGGGCACCACAGTTCAAGAAGGACACTGACAAACTGGAACGTGTCCAGAGGAGGGCAACCAAAATGGTCAAAGGCCTGGAAACGATGCCTTATGAGGAACGGCTAAGGGAGCTGGGCATGTTTAGCCTGGAGAAGAGGAGGTTAAGGGGTGATATGATAGCCATGTACAAATATATAAAAGGATGTCACATAGAGGAGGGAGAAAGGCTGTTTTCTGCTGCTCCAGAGAAGCGGACACGGAGCCATGGATCCAAACTACAAGAAAGAAGATTCCACCTAAACATTAGGAAGAACTTCCTGACAGTAAGAGCTGTTCGACAGTGGAATTTGCTGCCAAGGAGTGTGGTGGAGTCTCCTTCTTTGGAGGTCTTTAAGCAGAGGCTTGACAACCATATGTCAGGAGTGCTCTGATGGTGTTTCCTGCTTGGCAGGGGGTTGGACTCGATGGCCCTTGTGGTCTCTTCCAACTCTATGATTCTATGATTCTATGATTCTATGATTCTATGATTCTACTTCTGCCATGCTAAAGCTCAGTTAAGCCATTGCGTGTCGTGGTCCCCAAGACACCCCCCCCTCCCCAAATAATACACACATCACACAGAATGTTTGTTTAACGTTTTTGGCATAATTCTGGCCACAACTTTATTAACATACATGGATGTGAGTGGTTGCTTAGGCATTGGTTGATCTGTCCTCCCGCCTGGGGACAGAACTGATCTCCGGATTCCAGCAAAAGTCAGTAAGGGGAAAAAATATTGGGGAGAAACTGGAGCTGCGCCACAGGCCCTCACCTCTCCCGCATGCTCCCCGCGGCCTGCTGGCCCTGGCCCCTTTCCAGGGATTTGGATGAAAGCATGGCAAGCCCCTCAATTCCTTCAATGGAATTCCCTTGCAGCAGCAGCATTGGAGGGGCAGGCCCAGCCAATCCTTACCTCTCCTCCAACCAATTTTTAACCAGTGCCTAACCGCAACCTTACAAGTTGTGACAATTTGCTACACAGTAGGCAAAAACCAAATGGCACCAGCCAATCAGCCAAATGGACAAAATTCCTACCAGGCCCCTGCCCCAATGGCAGACAACCCCATGACAGGCATAGCAAGGTCAAACGCACAAGACCTAAAATAAGGAAAATACAAAATAAAAATAGTTAAATGGTTTTCTTTTTTCTTTTTTCATTTTGTAATACTTTGAAAATCTTAATAAATATCTTTAAATAAATAAATAAATAAATAAATAAGGGAGGGCGGGTGAGTGATCCGGTGCACCCAGCGAAAGAGAAAGCTGAACACTGCGTGCACTGCTTAAACACCTCTGTTCCCTCCCCCAAATTGTTGTTGTTTAGGCGTTTAGTCTTGTCCGACTCTTCGTGACCCCATGGACCAGAGCACGCCAGGCACTCCTGTCTTCCACTGCCTCCCGCAGTTTGGTCAAACTCATGCTGGTAGCTTCGAGAACACTGTCCAACCATCTCGTCCTCTGTCGTCCCCTTCTCCTTGTGCCCTCCATCTTTCCCAACATCAGGGTCTTTTCCAGGGAGTCTTCTCTTTTCATGAGGTGGCCAAAATATTGGAGCCTCAGCTTCAGGATCTGTCCTTCCAGTGGGCACTCAAATTAGCAACATCAAAATTACCCCAGCAACTCAAACTACCAATCCCTGACAGAGACCAACCACCCCAACCCACCTGGCAACACAGGGGTGGCTTGACTGGCCCCCACCGCAACATGTGTCCTCTTTTAATGAGAACACGCTCTTCCACCTTAGTCCTTGCCTCCTGCAGTATGCACTTGTATCTTCATGTGGTCTGGCCAAGTGTCACTCCTTGTTTTATCTACTTGAAGGTAATTTTTGAGCACAGAAGCAGGGCTTGAATTTTTAGGGAGCTGCCGTAAGCAGAGTCACAGGCCCATTTAACTGGTTCTTGTCTATAGCAGGCACCTTTGGCCCTCCAGAAAGACTGCAACGCCCATCACTCCTAACTATTGGCCATGCTGGCTGGGGTTGATGGGAGATGTAGTTCCGCAACATCTGGAAGGCCAAACGTTCCCCACCCAGATCCACAATGTAGACTCTACACTACTGGGAGCAACTCTTCCAAGGTTTCCGGCAGTGGCTTTTCCCAGCCCAGCCTAGAGATGTTGTAGATGGAACTAAAGACCTTCTGCATGCAAAGCAGGGGTGAAGGGTGAAATCTGCAATCCCTACTCCCTGATCCCCTCCAAACGTAGCCAAATCTTGTAGATATTCTAAAAACAGGAGCTCAAGGGAAACCATTCTGTGCATCGTGCAGCTCCTTTCTGTTGCTGAAAATGCAGAGAGAGTCATCTGGGGAAAACCGAAAGATGCTTCATGCAGGCAGTGTTTTACTATTGCCTCTATTGTATAAAATACTGCAGCATTTCCATTGAAGCATTTCATACATTCCAAAGCCAGTGATTGAGAAAGAGCCAAGCTAGGTGAGATGATCTCCATCAGTGATCAGATATCCTGTCCCTTTGAATGTTGGCCAGTCAGAGGTGTGTTTGTGGATCTAGATTGGGACCGTGTTGCCGGCGGGGGAGGGAGGCTGTTAACACTTTCCCACCTCACTCTTTATCCCCTGTGAATTCAGCTGCTGTTTGCCCTGCTAGAGGAAGTTTAAAGGTAAAGGTACCCCTGACTGTTGGTCCAGTAGTGGATGACTCTGGGGTTGTGGCGCTCATCTCGCTCTATAGGCCGAGGGAGCCGACGTTTGTCCGCAGACAGCTTCCATGTCATGTGGCCAGCACGACTAAGCCGCTTCTGGCAAACCAGAGCAGCACACGGAAATGCCGTTTACCTTCCCGCCAGAGCGGTGCCTATTTATCTACTTGCACTTTGACGTGCTTTCGAACTGCTAGGTGGGCAGGAGCAGGGACCGAGCAACGGGAGCTCACCCCATTGCGGGGATTCGAACTGCCAACCTTTCAATTGGCAAGCCCTAGGCTCTGTGGTTTAGACCACAGCGCCACCCGCATCCCCTAGAGGAAGTTTAACAGCGCGTAAAATAGCAAGGAAACAGTCCCAGGTCCCAGTCCAGATCCACACCAGCTCACCTGAGGGAGATGTGGGAGAGGAAGGGTTAAAAGGCGATGGTGGTGGATCAGGGGGCGAGTGCTGGTAGGATAAAGCTTGGGTCTGCCGATGACAAAGAGTGGCACCTGACAGGTCAGGAGAAAAGTGGCTCCTTCGCGGTTGACTTGAGGGATAGAACCTAATGGATATTTCTTGGAGTGAACTGCACAACCTCTCAAGCCAAGCAGAAAATTGCCTGCTGGCAAAATTAAACTCCTGCTTCTGGAAACCCTGAAAAAAAAGGCTGAATAATAATAATAATAATAATAATAATAATAATAATAATAATAATAATACCACCACCTTTAAAAAAAAACTTTTATTTTGCTTTAAACAAGTACATATAAATATAGTCAACCAGAATCACAAAGGAAAATTCCTTAACAGTAATGAAAAAAAACTATAAAGAACTACAAAAAAATCGAAGTACATGACACAGAACATAAGCAACTATGGGAAAGATAAAAGAAAAGAAAAAGAAAAATGGGGGGGGGGGGGAGAAAAAGGAAGATGAGCCAAAGCAGGAAAGCTCATCTATTGTACACTTCCGTCAAGCTCACAACAGATCATTATTCTTATCAATTCTCTCCATCTGCATTCCAAAGGAATCCCTCATCTTGGTATCAGGGAGCAACAAGACCTGGCTATGTTTAGAATGATACCGCATAGAGAAATAATACCACCTTTATTGTCAATGTACAACCTGTGTACAATGAAATTAACCAAGCCTCCCTCCCCCCCCCCCAAACACTCAACCTCATTGCACAACACACCAACCCCCAAAATCAGTTTTTTCCACCCAGCAGCCTAACAGCCCACAAATAGAAACTGTTTTTTAGCCTGTTGGTAAGACTGATCATACTTCTATATCTCCTGCCCAAGGGTAGAAGATTAGAAGGGGTGCTGGCCGGGGTGTGAATCGTCCCGGAGAATTTTTCTCGCTCTCCTAAGGCAACGATCCCCTGTCATCTAGCTCTGTAAAGACTTTCTGTCCGTGGCTGTCAAGCCAACGTACCACACTGTGATACAAAATGTGAAGTCCAGAGACAGTGCAACCCCAATTCAGGATCACACGTAAGGTGAAGCAGACATTTCCCGTTACTCCAGAGAGCAGGACCAGAATCAGTTGGTGGAAACTTCAGGGAATCAACAAATCTCTAAGAGAAACTTCCTGTAGGCACACGACAGTAGAATAGTCTGCTTGGTGGTGGGTTTTCCATTGCTGGCGGTCCTTCCAGGGACGCGGACTTATAAAAAATATTGGGGGGGCCCGGGAAAGCTCATGAATAATAAATAAGCTCATGAATATGCAAATAAAGTGGCTCCGGCCCTAAATAGGGCAAGCCACGCCCCCCCAGCCAGCCAATCGGCTGGCTGGGAGGTGTGGCCAGTCGGGATTCCCCTGTTCTCGCGGGGGCCAGGAGGAAGGAAATTCCCCCCGGCAGTGCCTTGGCAGTGGCGGTGGTGCTGCGAAGCAGCGAGGCAGGAGCCCCTGCCCCCGGGGATTCCCTAATCTCGCGGGGGACGGCCGGGGCTCTCCGACTAGGGCGCGCGGCTGGCTGGCTGGCTGGCGAGGGAGCAGGTGGGGAGGAGGCGGGGGACGGCGGCGGCGCTCTGCTGGAAGGGCGCCCGAGATTATTGGGGGGGCTGAGCCCCCCCAAAAATTTTTTTGAGGGGGCTCGAGCCCCCTCAGGCCCCATGGAGTCGGCGCCTATGGGTCCTTCACACCTGAGATCTCTCCCAACTCTATTTATTATTACTTTCCCTGGCAAGTAAAGGCTGCTCCATGGTGAGGAGATTGTGTGTGTGTGTGTGTGTGTGTGTGTGTGTGTGTGTAGGGGCAGCAAAAGATTGGTATCCCAATTGTTTTCTAACAAAGGACGGCGGAAGGTTTAACTGCTAAAAGTGCTGTTGTTCATTCATGTCAGGGTTTTAGCATGGAGGAGTTAAACCCCAATTTAAGCCATCTGCGACTCTCTTCCCCCTATTTGCAGAATAATTTGCAAGCGCTTGGATCATATTTGCTTGGGTCTTGGCCTCACAGAAACAACCTATTTTCCTCGTGCTGTATATAAAACTGTATATTGTACAAGTGAAGTCAACTGAATATTCATAGAGTTCTGTTGCTTTGTAGTTATACGGCCGCTGTCATATCCAAGTGAAACGTGAACTGTAGTCTAAATTAAATGTGAAGGAAGCACATTTTCACACTATGTTCTGTGCATTTTTGGGGATGTCTCTGTGTGTAGTTTTCTAAGGTCTCAAGGACTGTATTGCAGGTGTACAGCAGTTGGCATAAATCAATCATGCAACCTGTTTCAGGGTTCCAGAGGAGTTTAGATCTCTTTATCTATAAAATATATGTGGCTGCTGGAATTAAACTTAATGTGTGATGTGTGGTTGCTGCTGCAAACAGTCTTGCATCCCTTTTCACTCTCAGTAGCTGGTACTATAAAGTGCAAGTCACAACTAAGGTGGAGAAGAATGTCATTGGTCTGCATTTTGAAGCAGACTTACCTAATGCATGCCTTTCAGACGAATATATTGATTGGGACATAATTACCCTTTGGATTTTGCACTTCTCCAATTGTTGTGACACAAGTCTTGGCTCAAAAAAATAAAAAGAAAGAAACCAAAATGCATCTTTAAGGATAAAGTGTGCTTTAAAATGTGCATGTTATTTTACATGCATTTAAATATACATGATTAAATAATAATAATAATATAATAATAATTTATTATTTATACCCCGCCCATCTGGCTGTGCTTCCCCAGCCACTCTGGGCGGCTCCCAATCAAGTATTAAAAACAGTACAGCTTTAAATATTAAAAATTTCCCTGAACAGGGCTGCCTTCAGATGTCTTTTAAAAATAGGATAGCTACTTATTTCCTTCACATCTGAAGGGAGGGCGTTCCACAGGGTGGGCGCCACCCTGTAACCTCACTTCTCACAATGAGGGAACCGCCAGAAGGCCCTCAGCACTGGATCTCAGTGTCCGGGCTGAACGATGGGGGTGGAGACGCTCCTTCAGGTATACAGGACCGAGGCCGTTGAGGGCTTTCAAGGTCAGCACCAACACTTTGAATTGTGCTCGGAAACGTACTGGGAGCCAATGCAGATCTCTCAAGCGGTGTTATGTAGTCCCAGCAGCCACTCCCAGTCACCAGTCTAGCTGCCGCATTCTGGATTAATTGCAGTTTCCAAGTCACCTTCAAAGGTAGCTCCACATAGAGTACATTGCAGTAGTCCAAGTGGGAGATAACCAGAGCATGCACCACTCTGGCAAGACAGTCCGCGGGCAGGTAGGGTCTTAGGCTGCGTACCAGGTGGAGCTGGTAGACAGCTGCCCTGGACAGAGACTTAACCTGTGCCTCCATGGACAGCTGTGAGTCCAAAATACAAATTTTCATACATGTTTATCTTTTTTGAGGGGGAGGGGGGAATCACAGAATAATGCTGGGATTCTGATGAATAAGCACATGGAAAACTGGCGTGGACTGGAAATTCCTAGTCAAAACATCAGAATTTATCTGCTCCCACAAGTAGCAGCCTATATATAGTAGGAGAATTGACAGTTGGGGTGGCATCAAAGTATTTGCTAAATACAAAATTTTATGGATTCTCAATTTCTTTCACCATATTTTACACCTGGTTTTCCTTCTTTTTCACCCTCCCCTTTTCAGCCAAACCAATGAGTTTATCGCTTCCTTTGACGCCCGAGTCACCAAAGTAAGTATCAAGAACTGTAAATATTTACAACAGGGAAGGGGTTTTAAATACATTTTGGCTACAGCAACTCCATTTCAGCTTGTTTTTATAAATGTGCCCTGTCTTCCAGTGATCCCAAGGGTTCCCCATTTGAGAACAAGACTATTGAACAAACTTTAAGTGTGGAACTCTCTGGAACTGCAGGTGAGAAGATATACAGATATGTATATAGATATAGATGTTTTGTGTGGGTTTTTTTATTGCTAGCTTGACATTATGAATTGCACAGCAATATGTTGCCGTGGTCTCTTAAGAGATTAATTGTAATGTACTTTTAACAACAATTTTCCCCACACAGTTCCTTAAGATGAGATTTGCTTTAGAATTATGATTCCACTGTTACAGAGCTTAGTATAATGTCTAGGGAGGAAAAACGAATGAAATAATTTATCTGGAATAAATTCCCAGTCCCCTGACATATATATTGCTAAATTTTAGTTGTATTTCCCTATTCTCCCACCTTCTCTTATCTGAAAGGGATGATTCACACATGCGTGTTCATTACTTGATGACTGCAGCCATCAGTTGATGGCTTGCATTGATACAAGAATAATCAGGAAGAGGTTTTATATTACCTCAAACTTGATGCTTTCCATCTGAAATATTTCGCACATTTAGGTGGAAGTCATTGAAGACTGAGTGTTCAAGGGTTGTGAATGTGAACTGGCTCACAGACTGCACAACAGAAGATTTATAGCATCTGATCAGGGTTTTAGAATTTGGTTCCTTCCTGTTTAAATTAGAGGATAAAACTTTGCCAAACAACATTTTTGCTGGGTAACAGGAAAGGGACCATCTAAGCTTAGTATTGGATTGCAGACAGTGACCTTCTCATGATGACGTTTGCAGACCACAGAGCAGTAATGGAATAATCAATTCTCTTGTTTTTCTCTAACTTTAGAAAGTATGAGCTTTGAGGATATCTTGAGTATTAGAATGTAGACCTCGGCAGCCTTGTCTGAAAGCCATAGTATTGCACCTGCCATGAACTTGTCCTCTCTCAAGTTAAGGGCACTCCACAACTTAAAAAAATACACACTCATAATGAAATCTAGTCTTATTATGATCCTCTGCCTTGTACCTTCATTTTACACTCCTAACCTATTCTTGATCCTTTCAGGCTTCAAATCCTTATGCATTTTTTATGTAGCCTTCCATAACTTGATTATATCATATTATATGTTTATACTTGTTTTGAAAATGTCTGACCATTGGGTAGTTAACAGATCAGTCCTATCTATCTTTACCTGCAAGAATGTTTACTTCCAAAGAAAATGCGCCTAGGATGTCAGCCTAAATGTATTGCTTTCCTTTGAGATATCTTCTGCTCGCTCCTGAAGTCTGCAAAAGCTGAAGGGAGTGGTTTCACTGACTCTTCACAGGTTAATATTCTTTAGTGCAGAATATATTAGGCCCATGTGGACACATTTAAAGCCCGTGACTTCCCACCTCACCCCCCAGGGAATCCTGGCATATTTCCTGTGTTCCATGTAATAACTTTTAAACAAGTGATGTTCTGATTTTATATACATTTGTTTGTTATTTTTTTTAATCTTAATAAAACATTGGGGGGGGGACCTTTTAAGCAAGTGACAAGTGGGGGTGCCGCAGGGTTCTGCCCTGGGCCCGTAGTTGTTTGACGTCTTTATAAATGACTTGGATGAAGGAATTGAGGGGATGCTCATCAAATTTGCAGATGACACCAAACTGAGATGTCCTCTCCATCATTTCTCCAATGACAATAGGGAATGTCCTTTTCCATACCCTCCAACATTTCTTCAATGAAAATAGGGGTGTCCTAAGGAAAAGCGGGACATTCTGGAATCAAATCAGAAACCAGGACGGCCTTTGTAAATCTGGGACTGTCCCTGGAAAATAGGGACACTTGGAGGGTCTGTGGTGGTATAGAAATGTTTATTATTGTTGTTGTTGTTGTTGTTATTTATTATTTTATTTTGGTCATTTACTGAGATGGGCCCATTTAATTCCAACCTATAGTGGACAGCAGTGTTGTGTCTTCTGCTGTCTTTAATGTTGCCCTGGCATTGTTTATAATAGTTTAAATAGTGGTTGCATTGCTCCCACTGCTAAGTGGGCCTGCTTGCGCTATTGAAGTACTGTACACTATAAATATATAAAAAGTACCTTTCTTTGTTTTCTGCTCTTTCCCTCACTTCCTTTCTGCTGCCTTCCCCTTCTTACAAAAGTGGTTACTTTACTACACAGTCAACTGATAAAAATGCTCCCCTCTCCAGTTACTATTGGTTATCATTTATATATTCTGGATGGGTGTTGATAAAGGTGAATCTTAAAATTCATTCTATACCTCAAATCATCATCATCATCATCTGGGATTTTGCCCTAGGGATTGCAAGACTAACTGTATATCTACTTTGTCAAGATAGGCCATCAGGTGAACTGGGAGGAAACACTTAGGGAATGAATTTCCAGGCAACTCCCCAAGGATTATGCCATTTCCATTTTATATTTTTTAATTTTTGTAGGTAGTAAACTTAAATTTTGGGTTTAAAATTCTTCTCAAAATGTCCTGCTGTTTCTTCAGGTAAGACATATTTGAAGGAACAGTTCCAAAATCACATTTTGCGCCTCATCAGTTTAAGAATTTGAGGTGATAACTTTCACACTTTTTGCGCAGTTTGGGCCATAGCAGGTTCAAGATAGCCGGAATAGATCTACAGTGTATTGAAATAATTTATGGGAGCATCATGGCAAAGATGCAAAATGGGCAGTGTAAGCATGCATGGAATAAATCCTGTTTTTCAGGTTTTGCTTAAGGGGAAAAAATATCCTCTAGAGCCCCAGTGCCTGTTCTTTCAAGTATATATTATACACCCAAATGTTTTCCATTTAGCTTGCTGCAGAAACTATGCAGCAATCAGACAATGAAATACTAGATTAGAATTGTTAGGGCAAAACATAACCTGCCCCCACTTTGTACTACCAGTGGCAATATTCACACAATATGTTGTATGCATGCTGTATTTTCACTCCATTTTTTGTCTGCCATATAAAGCAGAGTCTGTCCATGGACATTTCAGAATAATTTATTTAAGAATGATGGCTACTGCATGTTTGTTTGTTTTTCCCTGCGAGGAAAATCATCGTATTTTCCTTGTTTAGCAGCATTAAAGAAATTTTGTGTACACAAAGCTAATGAAAACAAATTTAACTTGTCCAAACTGTCTAACAGGGCAGGTATCCATGAGGATAATTTCACTGAGGATAAATCATGCAGGAAAAATGCAATGCTTGCAATGTATATAGCTTTTTTTTTTTACATTTTAGCTTATGTTTTAATAAATATTCCCTGAAAGAAAATCTGTTTTAATTCCACCATATTAAAACCAGAACATCCTAGTCAGTCTCTTCAGATATACCTTTGGTCTCAGTTGCATAATTATACGACTTTTTCTCATTGTTCCTACGTTGGTGACATGTATGCCAATCAGTGGCGAGGCAAAGCAGGAACAATCAAAATCCCTTTCTTCCTGCTTGTTTCCTCCTTGATTTTCTTAGCTTTTTTAGTGTTTTCACCTCTTTCTATGTAGTTTCAGAACAAATAGAACAGAATTTGTTTTGATGAAGATAAATTGATGTCGGCCTTTAAAACGGTTTCCCCATCATATTCCCTTTCTCCCCAGCTGTCTGAAAACAAATGGGTGCATTTCTGTGGTGTGTAAAGCATACTAAAGTCAGAAAGGAATTGCTTTCATTTGCTTTTCAAAGCTGTATTGGTCTGTTGTATTATTATTTTTCAGTAAATATTTATATACTTATTTGACAGAAACCCCATAACACCTATTAGGGATTACTTCTGAGTTGATTGGCCTATGATTGGTAATTTTAATCTAAGGAAACGGTCACAGTTAAATTTGAAGCAAGGCAGTCTTTATTCTCCTTTACAGTGGTGCCTCGCAAGACGAAAATAATCCGTTCCGCGAGTCTCTTCGTCTAGCGGTTTTTTCGTCTTGCGAAGCAACCCTATTAGCAGCTTAGCGGATTAGCGCTATTAGCGGCTTAGCGGCTTAGCAGCTATTAAAGGCTTAGCGGCTTAGCGGCTTAGGGGCTAAAAGGCTATTAGCGGCTTAGCGGCTTAGAAAAAGGGGGGGAAGCGAAAAAATCGCAAGACTCGCAAGACGTTTTCGTCTTACGAAGCAAGCCCATTGGGAAATTCGTCTTGCGAAGCACATCGAAAAACGGAAAACCCTTTAGTCTAGCGGGTTTTTCGTCTTGTGAGGCATTCGTCTTGCGGGGCACCACTGTACTTAGGCCTCTGGGCTCCACCTCCCATAGACCCTAGCTCTGCCCACCACTGATAAACAGTTCCAATAGATTATCCTTGAGGAAATATGGTCCCTGGCAGAATGAAGCTTAATTAAGAAGTAGCTTCCCAAATTCACCTTTGCACTAAAGATGGATAAAAAAAAAGTAAAGGAGCATTCATCTTGTGAAACGACAAACACTTCATTAAAGCATCTTGATAGTTCACACTTTGGTTCTGCTGGTGTGACATGTTCTGGTGGCATATTCTGCTCAAGAAATTAGATGATGCTCTGTTGAGTATCCTGCATGAGACATCATTAATATTTGTTGATGAAGCTTGGTCATATAGGTGACACAGAAATTATTCAGGCACAAGACAGATGGATTATTGTAGTATGAAGTCTTTCTCAAGATCAGGGAGAACATCAAGAAAATGCTCATCCTCACATGCCACAGCAGAAGCTTCCCCAACCACCCCCTTTCCTTCACCACTTGTTGAATCACACCTTTTTAATGTATGGAACCTAGTGAGAGATTGGTATTGAAATATAGTCGGAGTCGAGAGTGGATTTCATGCTCTTTATTCAGCTCATAGTGGTGGGAGGAATGGAAGTTTCCCCAGAATGTCTGCTTTATATACATTATTCACACAACGGGCCCCATGTGATTGGCTAATTCCGGGATTCACCTGTAGGCCAATCAGGTTGCGGATTCACTTCCACCTGGAGCTGGATTGGGTGGCTCCTGTGGACCAATCAGACTGCTGCATTCTGGACCCTATTGTTCTAGGACCAATCAGACTGCTGCATTCTGAATCCTATTGTTCTAGGACCAATCAGACTGCTGCCTTTTGGATCCTA